ACATGCTTCACTCCTGACTCCTTTTCCTGTAAAAATACTTGTCTTATCTCTTGACTTTCCCTTCTGTGAGTGGAGCACCATAAATTACCACAGGCAGACGGCTTTGGAAGCACTTCCAGGGCTATTTCTCTCCTCCTTCAGCTGCTCTTAATAAATGGTGCCCAGACCATAACAGAAGAAAGAGGAGGAATGTGCCTTGGATTTTTGTGAGAGGCAGCGAAGGAGTTTCCCATGGGAACGCCAATCTGCAAAGCTGCGTTTTGCCACATCTCCAAAGTACTTTTTTTTTTTTTTTTTTTTTTTTTTTTTTCCCTTTTCTTTCCCCCTCCGCTGCCCATCATGGTGAAAATCTGCCCTGATGACTGTGCCACTTGGCTTCTCCCTGCCCCCCCGTTTGGCATCGCTGCTGCCAGGATGGCTCCAGGTGGGAGAAAGCACCAAGTGGTCCAGCGCCTCGACATGGCCGTGGGGCTCCCGGCCTAGAAAGAGATGGAGTGTACCTGTGGATCTGCAATAGGAACAGCAAATATCGAAAATCCTCACGGATTTTTATGTTTTATGGCTTAGCTTGCTTCTCTCCTTGGGAAGCATCCACACATCCCAAGAGACACATCCTAGTGCTCGTTGCTCAAAGGTTTTCTGCAACCGGTACCAATACTGGGGGGGAAACACTGGTCTGCTGCAGCCTGGCACTTTGGGTGCCTTCGCATTTTCCATCCCCCGTTTAGCTCCATGTAACGAACTTGTTCCCACTGCTCTGGTTTGCAAATGTTGTGTAGGTCAAGTTGAAGATTTTTCTTGGCTCCAGTCCTGCGAGTCCTTGCCAAGTATGTGGTTTATTGCATGCAAATGTTAGTCAACAGTTACATTATCCAAAGGCAGCCTTTTTTCTTCTTCTTCTTTTTTTTTTTTTTTCTTTTTTAGCTTTAAATAAATGATTTGGCACAAACAAGTGTAAATGTTATGTCAGCATTAGACACTATTTAATCTTGATGGATATGTTAGCGGCGGAGCGTGACACTAATTGACAGACATTAAATTATGCTTTCTGTTTCTAGCTGGGTACAAACAGGAGTTCTGCTTCGTTAAGGCTGATTAAAACGCCGCATATCTACAGTTAGGGTGGGATTTTTCTATTCTGTATTAATCAAGGGGATATTTATCACCGAGAAAGCCTGCCATGTCGGTCCCCTTGTTGTGATTAATGCTTTAACACTCTCGGATGATTTGGTTATCCAAACGGCACACCCCTTTTATTTTTTTGTCCTTGTGCTTTGGGGAAAAAAAAAAAAAAAAAAAAAAAGGTAAAACCAACTGGAAGTCTATCTTCTGTCCATAAAGAAACCACTTGGGGGTTGCAGAGAAAAGGGTTGGGAGGGCAGCGCTCACCACAGGGGTGAGTCAGCCAAGATGTTTCTCCACGGCAGAGCCCGCGAAGGAGCCCGAGCTGCTGCCTGCATCCCTGCCTCCACGCAGCACCCATGTCAGAGCCTTCAGAACCTGCTTTGGCAGGTGCCCACGCTGCAAAACACCTGCACTTCACCCTGCGTCTGTGGCAGCAAACTTTGGCGTGCAGCAGCTTTTTGGCCTGGGTTACGAAGGTCCCGTAAGCAGGACCGTGCTGCTGGCAGGATCAGTGCAGGGGGAGGAGAGGCGACTGGTCCTGGCTGCAGGAGCTGCTGCTTGTCACCACCAGTGACAAACGGTCACCCACGGACGGGAGCTTGCTGTTCCCTTCCACAACGTTGCTGGGTGAAGGTGGTGGAGCTGTATCTGCCCGAGGATTTGGCTGCTGAGGATCCAGCACCAGCCTCCTAAGGCAATAGGAGCTCCCCGAGATCTCAGTTTGCCATCTTAATGCCTGCTTTGGCTTTTTTTTTTTTTTTTTTTAAAACTACTGAAATACAAAATTAAGCTGGGATTAATGGTATTTCAGCTCATTTGCCATTCGGGAAAAGTTGCTGCTGCCAACAGCAGAGGCGAGGGAGGGCGTGTAGGGGCAGGCTGGGACCCAAGGTCAGTCCCTCTCCGCCTCTGTACAAGGAGGGAAACGCTCACGCCGACAGCTCCCGGGATGAATTCTTCTTCTTAAGGTCCTGTGGAGCCCGACGCTGCCCCTGATTGTGCCGTTGTGCTTGTAGGACTGGAAATCAGGGGCAGAAATAAAAGCTGGGACCAGTGATTGTAACACAAAACCGTGGAGACCATTGGGATTGTGTTTAAATTGTGGGATTACGAGTAATTTGGGGGTGAGAAAGAAAGAAAGAACTTTGCTATATGAACTCCTCCTTTGGGGCAATAGTCACCTGTTTCATGCTCATCAGATGGTAAATGGGATTAGAGGATGCTCAGTGGTGCTCTGTACCTGGCTGGGTGAGGGATGGAGCAGCGTTGGGTGTGGAATACCCAGAAATAGTGGCGAGCGATGATTTACCACCTGCAAAACCTTGTGAGCTGGTGCTGGTGACAATTCATTGCACAAAACTCACGCGAGCGCAGCATCTGCACCAGTCCTCGTGAGACACAGGTGCTGGTGGGGCAGCCGTGGTCAATACGTGGCAGGAACAGGGATGAAAAGAAAATCCGAACCCAGAGCAAAAACCCACAGAGGCAGCTTGGTTTTAATAAAGACTCTGCGCTCTTTATTCCAAAGGACAATGCACGTCAGATAAAACGGTATCCAAAAATATGTACAAAAATAGCAACTATTTGCACTGGATTTGCTTTATACCGGCCAAGTTAAGTACGAGCGCTCAGGTGTCGAAGCAACAAGAGGTTTTGGTGGTTGTACACTGTCAGCAGGCAAACAAAAGCAGCTGTGACACAAAGATTTTCTCAGAGGAGCATCGTACCCATCCCTGCTGCTCTTCCGCTGCCTGTGCGGAGGACACACACCGGGATCCCTGTTCAGGGCAGCTCCGGGATGCTCAGAGCTGCTAATCCAGAATATTTAGTGCAAATATTGAGTCTCTGCATTGATTTAAGCAGCGTCCCGAGGGTCGGGCTGAGCCCGTGGGATTTCAGCAGGACTTTCTCCCCATGGAGCTGTCATCGGGAAGGGTGCGTACCCTGCCGGGGCTTGGCCTTGAAGCCATAAGGGTTTGGTTGTTGTTTTTTTTGTGGTTTTTTTTTTTTTTTGTTCCAAGCAGCAGATAAGCAAAGTGCAAAGTGGATAAGCGGCAGGACTTGGCTTTGAAACATATTGCAACAGCGCAGGGGACCGAGCAGCAGCTGTGGGAGACCGGGCTGAGGGATACGCGCATCCCAGAGCAGGGGCTGGAGGAAAAATGTTATCTCAAGGTATTAGGGGTTACTTTCAGATAATTAGAAAGCAACTGGTTGTCCTCCAGATTGAGCAAGCAGCAAGAGAAAAGCAGAATCTACCACAAAGGGTTTCAGTTTGCACGTCCTCCTCTCCCTGTCCTCCCTTCCTCTGATATTTTGCTTCATCCACGTACCCTCAGCAGCTTTGTCTTGGCTGGGAGCTTGCAAGATCTGGCTCTGTTGGCAAGGCGAAAGATCAGTTTCCAAATAATCTTGTTAAACGGATCTAAGCAGTTTCTTAACATTATTTAATTGTCTGCGTTTCCCTGCTGCAGGAGGGAGTTGGACCAACTGTGCTTTTTAACTCTCTTTCGGAAAGAACAGGCACCACAGGAACATTTCTAGAGGTTCACAGGGAAGAAACCTCCATGTAACTTCTGTTTCGGAAGATTAAATTTGTTCCAGCACAGCTATGCCTATTTACACTAGCTGAGAAAAAGCAGCTTATATATTTCCTCCCTTGGAAATTTCATTCATTTCTACACTTTGTCCCACGGACTTAGTGGCATCGAAAGTTTTAAGACCGATTAGTTGAAAAAAGCAAAACAAAACAGAACAAAAAACAACCACAAAACCCCTTTGCTGCTCTGCTAGTGCAAATAGTTGTCATCTCACAAAAAAAAAAAAAAAAAAAAAGTGATTTTTTTAGTAAAGCTGTCATCCTCTTGCTGCCCTGATGCCTCGGCGCTGGGAGCTGGACTGATTTCCCTCGCAAACAGGGATTTTGCTGCTTTCAGAGCTGACGGGAGTGTTGAACTCTTTGAGCTGCTGCTGTTTTAAATAGCTTATATGGGAATGTTCAAACAGCCTCAACACCCGGATATGCAAAACTCATCTGTCATTGCACTATTGTCCGTGTTCCCGAGGCTTTCTGCTCCGGCTGTTGGGGCAGCGGCAGCGGCGGTTGGCATCTCGGCCGTCGAGGGACGGGTTTGGGAGGGGGGAAGCTGGCGTACCTCCAGCCCTCGCTCCGATCCCAGCAAACCTGGTCCCCAGCTGCAGCTCCGCGGCCGTCGGGCACTGCGGGTTCCTGTCCCTCACGGCAGAAAGGGCTGGAATTCTCCCCAAAAGCCACATGCCCTGGGTAGAGGCTGCGGTGCTGCCTGACGGCCCTCAGAAATCTCGGGGGACTCTGAGTCCCCTCTGGCACCATCCGCAATTATGGTGTCAGTGGCAGAAATGCGATTTTTTTTTTTTACTTTTTTTTTTTTAAAAGCCTAATTTTTAGATCATACAACAACAGGTGGCCCAAGTGGCCGAGCTGAGGCCACACTGGTGCCAGCCCAGGATCAGCAGTTTGCTTTTTGCCCTCTGGATCACAGCAAGGATAAAGGCTTCGGGGGGCGGGGGGGGTGTGTGTGCACAGGAGAGCCTGGACCATCCCTTTTTGTCCCTGAAAGAGCCTGCAATATTTTACAGATAGAGCCCCGAGCAACGCTACCAAGCATGCTGAATTACAGGCTTTTAAAATCTTAGGGTTTTTTTTTTCTTTTTTAAGGGTTTTAATTTTTTTTTTTTTACCGTTAGCGATGAGATAGGCTTGTGCAGCAATTAGGAGATGCTGATCATTGCTGCGGATGGGGTCTCACTCCCCTAATTAGCACTAGAAAGAGCGACGCAGTATTAAAAAAAAAAAAAAAAAGAGAGAAAAGGATGCTTTCTGCTTAAAAAAGCGTTTACCACCAGGAGGGACTCCAGCCGTTCAAGTAGTAGAGGTAAGGCAGGTGCTGCCAGCCCGCCCGTAGTGCCAGCAGCGACGCTCCGGGCAGCGCAGCCGCTTTCTGCCCGGGCAGGCGCGTGTCCAGTCCGCTGATTTCGGAAGCGACCTGTTTCCTCTTGGTTTTGTATCTCCTGTTCTGGAACCAGATTTTCACCTGGGTCTCAGTGAGCTGGAGGTTTTTGGCCAGGTGGGCTCGCTCGGGGGCCGACAGATATTTTTGGTGGCTGAATTTGCGCTCCAGTTCGATGACCTGGGTGTGGGAGAAAGCCGCCCGCGAGCGCTTCGCCTGCTTGGGGGGGCACTGGGTGACGGGCAGGTGTTGCAGGGGGGGGTCACACTCGGACAGGTAGGCATCTGCAGGAGGAAAGAACTGAGAATTACCCACTTGGAAATTGCCCAAACCACTTGCTTTTTCCCTCTCAGAGAGCAAAATATTCAGATTAACGTGGAAATATTTTCATTTAATGGAGTGAACGCTGTCTTAAAGCCATATAAAGGATTTTTTTTCTTCCTAAATCACACTTCCTTAATTCATGTAAGGATGCATTCAATACAAACACACATTCAAGGAACTGAAATATTACAGAAAGGGCTATTTTGCACTGCTGGTGGAGGTCTGCCTGAAACCTCAAGATACTTGTCGTGACGTACATTATCTTGAGATTTTTATTGCAGAATTCATTCCGTTTGGCACTTCTCTGAAACATCCCCTCTGCTGTGCCTATGGGAAAATCCCGATGCCCGAAAACCCCAGGTTTATACCCTCAAGCTACAGAGGATAGCTCAGAAATGGGAAATTGGTGCAGCTAGACAAATATTACTTAAATATGAATATAGACTGCAGTTAGAAAATATTGAAAATAAAGTAATCCCTCTCATTTCTCTTTCACGACTCCAGGGCAATGCCAATAAATTTTGGGGCAGATTTTTAAACCTTCAGGCCCGGCATTACATGTATAGCTGCAGACCTGGCCTCGGATCACAGGTCTGAAGCAGCATCTCAGCGTTTCCCTCCGACTTCTCTCTCGTGGCTGTGCCTGACCCAGGAAGGTGCTGAGCTCCCCGGGGAGTGTCACCTAGAACTGTTCAAACTTTTCAAGTCAATTTATTCATGCCAGTCAGTTCTTTTTTGTGTGTTAACCACCTTGGGATGAAATAGGACAAGTTGTTGGTTTTTTTTTTTAAAACCTTTAGCTATTTCTCAGTGTATTTTCTTATGATGTGAACATAATGCTCAGGACAGAAACAACGGGCTTAACTCCCAGCTTGTATAAATCGTGGTTGTCCCACTGCAATCCCTGCAGCTGTGCTGATTTACACCAGCCACTTTCTGAGAGATTTGGAACGGTTTTTAATGATTTTCCTAATAATCAGCCCGGTGGTTGTTTCTGAACTTGCTTTTATGTCGAAGCTTCTTTTAATAGAGTTGAAACATAAAGCCAAAATTCCCCTGGCAAGGGCTCTCTTAGCAAGCAAGAGCTGGTCACTAGAGAGTTCAAAATTGCTTTTTTGGCTGTTGCAGCTCAGCCCAGGACGGTTTGGGTAAGGAGAGGCTGAGTGTTCCCCCCCCTACACACAGACCCAGCCGTGCTTGTGCTGCTGCAACGTGAGAGGCACCAGTCAAAAAAAAATTTCCTTCTGAGTGTGATTTTCAGTATGTTGCATCTGCAGTGGAACCTGCTGGGCTGCAGTGAGTTCAGCGCTCGCGGGCTGCGAGGGGATGCTGCGCCAGGAGGAGCGGCGTCGGTGGTGATGAACCGTGCGAGGCACAGCGGTGCAGGCGGGAGCACAGGGTGAAATCAGGGCTGAGCATGCGGGGAAGCTAAACCCTGCTGCAAACTGTGCAAATTCAACACGGGGATTTTCAAAATATCCCCGGACCGGAGGCACCGGTGAGCTCGGCTGCGGCGGCATCGCCGTGCTGACGGCTGAAGGATTGGCCCAGGCTGCCTGTCTGAGCTGGCAGCCCTTGCTGGGGACCTTCTGTGTTAAAAGGGAACTTTATTTCCCAAGATATTGCAGAAATCCATCGACTGTTTTTTTGTTGTTTTTTTTTTTTTTTTAATGGTGTTTTAGGCAGATTCAGTCCTTTGAGTTATTTGAGGCACCTGGTAAAAGGTTTGCATGCAGTTGCTATTTCTCTTACTTTCCCACTGCTAAACACAGATACTCCCTGGTATTTAAAACACGGGCTATTTGGCTCTGAGGTGCTTGAGGCAGCCCGGTCTGGATCCTGCCCCTTGGCTGACCCAAGCGTAGACATTGCAGCTCCGTTCCCCCGCCAGCGGGCTCAGCCAGGAGCTTCCACCCCCTTACCTGTGTCCGCCTCGTGGGGTGTCCCTCGGCCTTGCGATGCTCCTGGGGAACAAGGGCTCCTGGGGGGGTGCACTGGGGCAGCCCCCGGGGCCGAGCTGCCCTCGCTCCCCTCCGTCGGGGTCACCCCAGGCTCCCCGTCCTCTGGGCTGCCAAACCCTCCGCTCCTGCCCCGCTCCGGCCGCGCTCCCCGCTCTGCCCCATCCCAGAGGATGTCTTGGATGAGGAATGATGTCCGGGGCCTGGAGAACATGGGCCTGCTCTGCTGGGCTGCTGTTGGGGTCCAGCTCATCCCTGCTGGGGTGCTGCTGGGTGATCTCGGCTTCCTTGCGCGGAGCACCCCGGCACTCATCCTCCTCTTCCTCTCTCTGCCCAGAGGCACGCTGTCTTCCCACCCTCCCGGCCCTGCATTTATCCGGCAGGCAGCCAAGCCTCCGCGGGCCTGATTGGAGATCCCTGGCAGGAGTCTACGCCCTTCGGTTGTGTCTTGGCTCCCGCGGGTTTTCTGGCTGTTTGCTTCTCCCTCTTGCTCAGGACGCCCTTCCCCACAGATCCACGGGGTCACAGCCAAGCCTCAGCCTCCTCCTTTGCCCCGCTGTTACTCCTTCGCTGGCAAATCACCCCTGAGCTTTTGCAATGAGGGAAGGATGCCCAAGTGAGTTCATCCTTTTGGGGATCAAAATGCTCCCAGGGTGGGGGGTTTGGCCAGAGAAGGGGGGAGCAGCATTGCTGCCTCGGAAGGATGCTCTGCGAAGGGACATTCCACATCCCCAGCCCCAGCCCCAGCGAGCCGGTGCTCTGCTTGCTCCTGGTTATGGAAATTATTTATGTCCAGGGGTTAATCCCTAGAGATCTCTGGGGAAATGGTGTTTTCAGGGGAAAAAAACCTAAAGAAAATTAAAGGATTGGTGCTTTTTTTTTTCTGTATTTTGGGGGCTTTGAGGGTTTTCTTCAAAAACTTCCACTTTGATGCGCTTTCAGCGTGTTCAAAACCGGGGAAAGTGTCAAAGACATTTTCATCAGCTTTGCAAAGCTGCTCTAACAAAGGCTTTAAAATGAAAGTTAAGTTATAACAGACAGGGAGAGCGGCTCCAGAGGCAAATGTTTGCACAGAAAGGGGCAGAGAGTTCACATGAAAATTTAAGCCTAAACCTCAGACTAATTCCTTGACCAGCTGTGGAATGGGACAGCATGGTCCCTTGATACACCATCCTGCAAGGCCCCGTGTTCGCAGGCACCTAAAAGAAGCAAAACCTTCCCAATTCCAAGAAAAAACACCAGTCGAGCGCTCTGTTATGACGGAGATTTTTTTTTTTTTTTAATGAGTATCTACTTTATTTGTAGTTGCTCTTCTAGGGTTTCTGTTTGGAAAACAACTCCCTGCTCGCCACACAAACAGCTGTGAACCACCCCCCATCCCCCCCCCCCCCC